AAGCCAACTGTAGAGTTTATAAATCGACCTTAAAAGGTCTTACCTTGAACGTAGATTCTTACAGAGTTAAAATGTGTTAAAACTGGACAACACAATAACACATATTAACTATTGTTTTAATTGTTTTTGGACATCACACTTTACTATAGAGCACGTACGTATTTCCTAGCAGATCGCTCTGTATAAAACAGATTTATCATTTCAATACCCGATGACTACTGTTTTTAGTGCGTTAGAGGATCGACAGATATATTTTGCTTAGATTTTTTAGGTCTTTTTTATCATTTACCGCGTTTTTGTTTTTTTGTATCTCCACCATTTCATAAAATTCTCTCTTTTTTTGGTGATTTTCTGTTTTTAAAATTTTAGTTTTATTAAAATCGAATGTATGATTTTCTGTTGACACATGATTTGTGAGGGCGGTTACATTTTTTTATCATACTTGTGCCCTTTCAGTCTATTTTCTAACCATTGAGAAGTTGTCCTATGTAAACTTGGGCGCAGTTCGAACATGGAATTTCATATATAACATTGCTTCGTTTGTTTAACGGTGTTACAGATTTTAGTTTAGAGAAATTATTAGCTAACAAGTTATGTGCTTTATAACAAATCGTTATATTATACTTTTTATGTAACCCTTGTAATTGTTGAGACAACCCATTTACGAAGGGGAGCGCAATATATCGTATATCTTTTTTAATCTTTTTATTTTCTATTTGATTTTGATTGTTTTTTGTGTTTAAGAATTTTTGGAGTCTATCTTTGAATATTTTGTTTATTAGTTTTTGTGGATGGTTATTTTCTTTTAATGCATTTTTTGCTTTTTTTATTGCAGCATCTCTATATTCTGGTCGGATAGACGAATTGATCTGTCCGCCAAGCCAATTATCACCGATCTTTTTTGGTTAGCTGGATGGTTAGATAGAAAATTGAGATATCTTGAGGACCAAGTTTTCTTTGTATACCATTCGGTTTTTATGGTTTGATTGGTATGATGTAAAGTAATATCTAAGAAGTTAATTTTTTTATCGTTCTCTATTTCTGACGTAAATTGAATATGTTTATTATAGGCATTAAATTTTTCTTCTATATACCTAATTTTTTCTTTTGGTATAGCTGTTAGACAGTCATCAACATACCGATAAAAAAAGGGTATTTCAAAATCGATATCAGATAGAACTTTACTCTCCAAGTGTTCCATAACCATTTGCGCTGCAACACTAGAAATCGACGCCCCCATTGCACAACCCTCAATCTGCTTATAAATTTGGTCTTTATACATAAAGTAAGTTGAGTTAAGCGTAAGTTCAGTAGCTTCAATAAATTCGTTCATCGGGATATCAGTGTATTGCTTAATTTCGTCCCATTTTTCTTCGATTACCTTTGTTACTAATTTAATTGGGATACTGGTATATAGGGAAATTACATCTAAAGATACTAATATGTAATTTTGTGGTATTGTTATATCTTTTATTTTTTCTTTGAGATCAATGGAGTCTCTAATGTAATAATTATTTTTATAAACTATATTATTGAGGATGTTTTTTAAAAATTTAGAGAGTAAATTGAACGGGGATTGAATACAGGATACAATGGGTCGCAACGGTACGTCATTTTTGTGAATTTTAGGAAGTCCATAAATTTTCGGTGTAATAGCATTATGAATTTTAAGATTTTTTGCAACACTTGGAGGAATATAAAGTTTTTTATCCCACCTGTCAATAAGTTCGTTATTTTGTTTTTGATATTTTTTTGTGGGGTCTGTTTTTATGATTTTGTAGGTTTTTTTATCTTCTAATAGTGTATTCATTTTTTTATCATAATCAGATTCTGTCATAATGACTGTTTTACTTGTCTTGTCGGCTCTTAAAACTTTTAAATGCGTGTGGTTCTTTAGAAACTGGTTTGTTTTTTTTATTTTTAATTTTAGTTTATTATCTCTTTTTTGCCTCTTAGACTTATTTTTTAATTTGTTCTGAAAGTTCGTTATTATATTACACGTTTTTGCTCTTATTTCGTCCTGCTCGTATAATCTTAAATGTTTTATACCATTTTCAATGTTACAAATGATTTCATTAGTGGGTATTTGTTTGTCATTATCGATCTTAACTGCAAAATTAGTCCCTAAACTTAAGATATCTGATGCGTACTGTGGTATGTCTATATCTGTCAGATCCAATTTAAATTTATTCTTTCTGTGTATGTCGATTGAATTGAAATTAGGTTTTTAATTTTATTTATGTGCTTTGTTTTGATTTTTTTAACAGATTTTCGCACTTTTTATTAATAGTGTAGGTAAGACCTTTTAGTTTGACATTTGATCTTATTGATTTTAACTGACTGTTTTTATGTACCTACTTAAAGAGGCTTGAAAAAGACATATACTGTCGAAACTTCGTCATAAAATAAGAAAATAATGAACGAAATCTAAAAACATCTTTGCAACCCCAACGACCTAAAGCCAAGAGTAAAAACAAAATATATATAGAGTACAGGTCAAAGAAACGAAACAAAAAATATATATTTGCTTCGGCCCGCTTTACCCGACCCCTGAGGGCGACCCGAACAGTACAACGTAATAGACTCTTAAGTTATTGTATATGACTATATGCAAAATCTTCCAGCGGAAGTCGACTGTATACCGTCTAAAGATAGAAAGTCTCTAATCGGATATTTCAAAAAAAAACTTTTCTTGTGGTCAGTTGAACCTTTCATTTCTACTTTAAATTGCTTTTAATATCCGTCCGAGCGTTTATTACGAATAAGTGAGAGTTCTGATGAAAGGTTGACGCTGGGTTTTTATCCTCCTAGAAATAAGGAGCAATACTTAATTACATCGACATGCAAATGAACTGTCTCTTTCACCAAGAGAATGTCTGTTATTCTGGATATTTTTTTCCGGGCAAAAATGAAAGGCGAAATAAAACAATCCAACAAAACAACACATTTTTATTAACATCATAAATTATATTATAAGAACTTAAAAAACGGGAAGAAAACTATTTACAAAAGAGAAAAAAGTAACTTATAAATAAAAATTAAAATAGAAGGAAATTATAACAATCACGGACAATACTGTTTAAGCTTATCAAAGCCTTTTATCAGTAAATACCTGTAATGATATAAATACCAATCAGATCATATTATGAAGACTATTCGTAAATATACCATTCTGGACACTTCATCTGCGTGGTCTGTATTTTAATGATTGATAAATATAAATGACCGACAATTGACAGACAGAGAGATTACAAAATAAAAAGCGGCATACAGTGTTGCCTTTATTCTACGTGCGTAGAAAAAAATAAACTGTTTTAAAAACTGTCCTGCATACTACTGAAATGAGGGTAATATACATATATAAGCTAAGTATAATCTACTACAGCTGTAGTAAAATAAGTAACTAATCGTAAAAAATAGAGTTCCAGCTCTAGATGAGAGATCACTGTCTTACACGTTAAAATCCAGACCACGCTACTACGGTGACCAGATTTGTATAGTCTTTGGTTACTTCTCTGCAACCCAAAAGAATATTTAGAGTAAATTAACTAAGATTTTTATCGAAAAAAAAACAAATAACCCAGAGAGTCTTGTGAACATGTGCATACAAAAATATCAAAAATAGAAAAAATCAGAATATGAGAAATAGATGCCAATAGAAACATTTTGTTTCTTCGGTATGCTTCACAGATATTTCTCCTAGATAAGAATGTTACATTATCTTCTTTCTAGGTGAGACATTTATATTCATAATATATTATATTTACGTTTTTTTTTTGTTGGGCCGTGGGGACAGTCACATATTTTTACTAAAAGAATGTACAGTATATCAGCATTATATTTTTTGTTATACTTTTAACGGGCTTTGATATATTTTATATTTTTTTCTTTTGGTATTTTTTCTGATTTCTACTTTTTCATCTAGATTATTTATTAAAAAATATATATCGGTTTTGCAAATATTAAATTCGTATTTCCAAGAATTTTATACCCTGCCAAATGTTACAGTAATGTTAGAGATAAATAATTATATTTGCTGTATCATATTAGATTTTTCTAAATGTTAAAACATATACAACGTGTTTTTTTAGTAGTTTAAGTAATATAAATTTAATTAAATTATGTAAAAATGTTCTCAAACTATACAGAGTGAGTCTTAAATAAGTGCAAATATTTTCAGGGCTGGCAGATCTCGATAGAAGTAACATATTTTCTCTTTATCGTTTCTCAAATAAGTCCAAAAAACCGTGTTTTGCTTTGAACATTTTTTTGAAAATATTTTACTTTAATTTAGTTTCCAAAAAAAAAATGATTTTTTACTTAAATTTTGAAAACTACTGGATCTTTTCTGGATTTTCTTTCTTGTAAATTTAATCTACTGAAAACATAATTTTTATCAAAAAATTAAAAAAAGAATCCAAATTTTCAATTTTTTTTCCCGAAAAAAACCTCATAATCGTGTTTCTGTGTAGTTTTTTTTTCGATTCAATTTTTAGTTAAAAAACGATAATATTTTGATAACACAGGTTTTTTGTCATGTTATTCAGATGTGTTTGCCAGATTAAATTTACAAAAAAAGAAAATTCAAAAAAAAAACACTTGTTCTCGAAACTTAAGCAAAAAATACAGAAGTAAGTCTAGAAATAAGAGCAAGTATTTTGAAAGGTGCTATATAAAAAAAGTTCTTTTATTTTGAAAATTTCCAAAAAAATGATTTTTTGCTCAAATTTTGAGAACTCCTGGATCTTTTCTGGATTTTCTCTCTTGTAAATATAATCTACTCTACTACCTATGTTGCCATATTATCAAGAAACTATGTTTTTTAACTAAAAACTAAAAAAAAATTCCAAATTTTTTTTCAAAAAAACTTCATAGCCGTGTTTCTGGGGTTGAACTATACTACCAGTTAAAATACTTGCACTTATTTCTGGGACACCTTGTATATATTATATATTTTTTTTAATTTTCAAAGAAAATAATTCGGTTATTTTGGACTTGAACGAAAAACGGCAAAGAGAAAATATGTTTCTTTATCGAGATCTACCAGCACTAAAAATATTTGCACTTATTTATGTCCCAAGGCATGTCTTGAACTTAAATTTTGATAAACTATTAAATCTAGATTAAATAGAGAGGGCACGTGAAATATATTTTTAAATCAGTTACAATGTTTTATCTAATGCTCTTCTAATACATAGGGTGTACTGTTTAAAAAAAATATACTTAGTTTATATTATCTTGATTAAGGAACCTATATTTTTTTGAATAAAATTATAGCCCGAAAAAAAACCGTTAAAGCCTTTTAAAAGTAAGACAAAAATAAAACTCTAACACATTGTACGTTTATGAATATTACATTATATCCCTACTAGACCTTATTTGCGTAATCTGACCATTCTTAACCTCAATACTCGGTACAAACTTCTCAGAATTACTCCTTTTCATCGGCTCCTGTTGGCGCTGGTTCCCAGCAACCATACCACCTTTTTCCTCGGCAGCAACTTTCAGAGGCTGCAACGGAGCACCGAAGTAAGCCCCTAACTGAGCCTTAATTTTGACCTGCTGTTCAGGTGAAAAATTCTCCAAGCCCGTTATAATAGCCGGTGCCGCTCCTGTACCTCCCGACATCAAGTACTGCTGAGCCGCCTGCTGAGCCAACTGAGAGATTTGGTCGAGTTCCAAGGGTTTCTGGTAGTCGGGCTTGTGATTGGCAGGGATAGGTTGTTCTTCGAGATGGTTTTGTAAAGGTTGGTACCGAATAGATCTTCCTTCTGAGGCCGCTTGATGTAGATGAGGAACTAGGTGATTTTGGTGCTCCTGGTCGGATATCAATGCTTCGGGAGTAGGGAGGGATTCGTGTTGGAAATGAGTGGGATTGGAGTGCATTGGAGCTGCTTGAGGTGGGTTTTCGTTGGGGGATGTTGGGGGGTGATATTGAATATCTTGCTGTGAATGATACTGGGCGTATTGCGGAACTTGCTGTTGCTGTACGTGAGTTATAATATTGGGTTGAATTTGTGGATAATGTCCGTGTGGTAAATATTGAAACCTGGAATACAAATACAAATCTCAGTACCAAAGAATTAAAAGTAACTTTACAAAAAAAAAATATTGATATATTATAGTATTTCGCCACTGCAAGAAAATCTACAAAATAAAAGTTATTTTTTGTAAATACTGTTGCGTTAATCCAAATGGAAACTACTTGTCAGCAGTTAGGTTTACAAATTTGCCTAACGAACTAATAAAGGCTTAGCGTCTCGGAAAATTTATCTCTTTCCGTCGTCGGAAGCAAAAAAATATAAAGAATAAAGAAAAAAACTATTTTAAATATTTAAATTCAACTGTTCGAGAACACTTTAGTTTTTTTTAAACAGATACGTCTACAAAAACCGTTGACGTTCTGTTAAAATGACATTATATCCAAGTTAAACTTCAAAATTAACAATTACTACCTGATAACAATTACTTAATAAGGTAAAACCAAAAAGTCCCGAACTTTCTGTTTAATTATTTTTAATTTTTACGTATGTTATGTTTATTATGTTACGTTCTTTAAAATCAAAGAAGCGATTGCCATACATTACTAACATCTACAGATGCATGAGCGATAGGTACATTTATTTTGATTGAGATAAATCCGCCACATAGGTATAGACATTTTTTATATTATAGTATTTTTAATTAAAAAAACTTGTAAAAATAAGATATTTTTACACAGTTTGACAAAAAAATGTAATTTTACAAAACAGTTAATCAATATTAAATGATTCTAACAAAACGATATTATTTTCACAATGAGTTTTGGGCGTTTAAAAATGAAATTTAAATAAGAAATAAAATCTTATAGTAAAATTGCATGTATCTAGACATATTCACAAAACTGGACGATACTGATTAGGTAGAATTTTTATTAATAGTTGCGAGATGGCCTTTCGGGAATAGCAGATATGTGCTTGCGGATTAAGCAAACGGATTCAAAAATGAATAAAGAAGGAAGAGTCAGTATTTTGAATTTTTTAAAGAAATTCTGAGAGTAAGTTCTACTGTTCAGTTCCAATAAATATCGAACTGCTCTCTTTTGAAGTTTGAAAATACGATCAAATTTTGTTGCGCAGCAAGTACCCCAGAGTGGAAGGGCATAACGAAGATGTGACTCGAAAAGGGCATAATAGGCTATTCTAGAGGTTGATAAGTTAAGTTCCTTATAGAAACTGATCTTAGCGCAAAACAGGCAGCGCTTAGTTTCTTTGATAAAGCTTCGATGTGCAAGTCGCATTTTAACGAGTTGTCTACAACAAGTCCTAGGAATTTAACAGAGTCCACGACGTCAATAGAGGTGTTATTAAGTACGAACCCTAACAACTATATGTTGGGACAAGGTCATATTTTGGAATTATTGCCCTGGTTTTTCACAATGACTGAAAAATATATGTTTAATTTTTTAAATATCCTAAACAACTTGACAATATTTTTATGAATTTTTAAATCAATCCATATTTACAGTAGCGGATTTTGTTCATAAAAAGACAAATTTGCTGACAACTAAATGTTGGGACAAGTATTTTTAAATAATTCATAGGCGGCTTTGCTATAAACGTCACAAATGTTGCAAACTGTTTATTTCAGCATTGACAGCTTGTAAGTGAGTCGATACATTGAGTAGTGACATATTTACTGTAAGTAATTTTAATTTTTTTAATTTTCAATTTTGTTAATTTAATTCAAAGTAATGGTCCGTGGAAAAGCTACAAATCAAAAACTACGCGAAATTATCATTCGTCAATAAATTACGGGAAAAACAATTCAAAAAATTTCAGATGATTTAAGTATTCCAAAGCCCATGGTCTTTAATATAATAAAAAAATACGGCGAATCTCTGCCAATGTAGACGTTAGAGGTAAAAGTTCGGGAAGGCCAAAATTTGTATCTCAGAGAGATTTACGAAATTTAGTAAAAATTTGCAAGTCTGCGATAAGAAGTACTCTTCGCGAAGTAACAGTTAAATGGAATACTGTAACTGGTTTAAATATATCAAGAGAATGTTGCCGAAAATATATCCATAAATGCGGTATGGTGTTTTACAAGGTAAACTTTATTTTGTGTGGATAATCAATTACCTGAAGATTATTGATACAAATTCTTATTTAGGCCAGAGAAAAACCGCCACTGACAGAAATTCAAAAGAAAAATCGCTACAATTGGGCAAAATCTAAATTATCGTGGACACAAAATGATTGGAATAAGGTCATATTTAGCGATGAGTCTAAATTTGATGTTTGCGTTGGAGATCATCGAAAACAAATAATACGAAATAAAGCAGAAGCTTTTCATAAAGATTGCTTAAAGAGGGTTGTTAAATTTCCTAAGGGGATTACGGTTTGGGGTTGCATGTCAGCAAGAGGTTTGGGCAAATTAAATTTTATAGATGGCACTGTTAACGCCCAAAAATATCAACATATACTTGAGACCTCACTTTTGCCTAGTGCTCGAGAATTGTTTCCAAACGAAGACTATATTTTCCAACAAGATGGAGCATCGTACCATTCAGCAAAATCAACTAAAAATTGGTTCTGTAATAATAATAAAAAGTTCTATCCCATCCTGCAAGTAGTCCCGACCTCAATGTTATAGAAACTGTGTGACATAAAATGAAGCAATATTTAAGAAACCACCCTCAACGGACAATTTTTGATTTCCGCACAAAACTGCAGGAAATTTGGGATAATTTTTCTTCTCAAATGTGCCAATCTTTGGTAAATACAATGCCATTAAGAGTTCAGGCAGTTGTTAAGGCGAAAGGTGATGTAACTCCGTATTAAACAAATTTCTTGTTGTGCTGTCCCAATATATAGTTGTCAGCAAATTTGGCTTGATTTTGTCAAAATAAGCTATTATCAAAAGTGATTTGTTTGCAAAGTTATAAAAATATAGTAGAATTGTCTAGATCATATTGTAATGTTTGAATTTAGAATAATAAACAAAATAAATTGAGTCGTTTTAACAAATTACTATTTTTATTGCAAAAGAAGACCTTGTCCCAACATATAGTTGTTAGGGCTCGTACCATAGATAAATGAAACAAGTTTAGATTGGAAAGTGCCCATAAGGACAATGTAAGCACTATTTGGCGCTATTCTTGCAACAGTCGCGACCCAGAACTTTTGAAAATTTCGGAGCGGTTCGGATTTTTCCGGAATTATATCGCCAAATATTGTTTATTCAAATTTATTATTATTTTCGTTTAATTTTATAAATAAAATACAGTGTGTTGCATACAAGAAACTTTATTTTATATAAGGACGCATGTATGAAATACCTATGAAACATTGCAAAGTGACGTTATGCCACGATCCACGATGGTTTTTGCAGTTCACAGTTCACAGCACAGCTTTTTAAGTTTTTAATGCCACTTTTTCACAATTAGCACCGGTTGGAGTAAATAAAACTTGAATTAAACTCACAAGATAGCAATAATTACTTTGAAAATGGACGCTATAAACACTTTTCGGAATTTCTTTAATGAGAGCGGTTTAGATTTTGAAAGATTATTATGATTTTTGAAGATTCTGACAGGGGGGTGACAGTGAAATAGGAAAATTGGAAACAGTCATTAGTGTCAATCCTGTCATCTCCTGACGACAAGTATGGCCGCCTAGACAAGGACAGCAATGTTTCTCTCTAACTATTGTCTAACTTCACAGTTTAGAATTGACAGATTTCAGAGACAACTTCAGATTTGTTCTAGAACAAATTTCGACGCCATTTTAATTCTTTCCGGTTAGTTTTGTTTTGTAAATTCAATTTGATATTTCGGCAGAAATTTATATTTATAAAGGTAGTAAAGCATATAAAATATATTATTACATGAACAATCCTGGAGAAAAAGACGTTTCTGCAGTACTAGGTATGTCCCATGTATATTAAAAATAGGTAGTAAATAAACACTATTTCTGTATTTTTTAGATGCAAGAAAATTTTGTTATGTTTATGATCGGCGATTTTTTTGAAAATGGAAACAATTTACAGCAAGGTAAGATCATTTTTAACTATAGCCAACATTAGTTATCTCCAGTATGTGCGATTTATTGTAAATAATGCAGTAAATCTGACTGATACAATCTGATTGTTGTCCGACTAAAAGTCTCTTTTTGCTTCTTTTTGATTTACAAACCAGGTCTCTTTGGGAATAATGGACGCTTTTTTTAAACAGTATATTTATATTTTATACCTTGATATTTTTACATTGTTAATTTTAGTATAAAAAAATTTGTTTTTCTGTTTTCAGATTTTTGTATAAGGCTCCCGTTTTCATGTCTGCCCCCGTTTTCTATCCTTGATGTCTGTGAATACGCGTATTTATTTACAAATTACTGTAAGTCATGCTTATACCTTACTAATTTACGTTAAAATTGCATATAATTAAGTAATTGCTGTAGAAATCATTCAATTCTTTATTTTTTATATTTATTTAGTCCCGTTGTCTCATATTTCAAATAAATATGTTTGAATAAAATTTTGTTTTGTTTTATTTATGATAAGAAAGAGTACAAAATACATTTACACTGAAAGAGGGCCCGCCATTGAATAACCGGAAACGGAAATAAAAATGAAGCCATCATGTCAACCTGTCAATTGGAAAATTAGTTCTCCAGACGACAACGAAGGCTTTCGGTGGCGTATCGTGTTTCCACGATTTAACACAGAGTTGACACTTCTTTCTAGTTAATTATTTTATGGATTCTGACATTGACAAGAGCTGTTTTTGTTTGCCGTTGTTCTTAGCGACCGCTGTAGCAGCGCCAGATCGCATATAACGGTCGCGACCCAAAATAATTTCGCGACCTAAAATTTTGACGGGCTTTCCAATCTAAACTTGTTGCATTTATCTATGGGCTCGTACAAAACACACGTCAATGTCATCGACAGAATCAAATCCCTCCTGTGACAATGGGCAGGATACCTAGAAAGAAGGACGGACAACAGATGCATCACAAAAATTACAACATTGTACCCACGAGGAATTAAGAGGCCTAGAGGAAGACCAAACCTGAGATGGGACCATGATATTAGCAGGAATAACTTAGGTCTCTATAGCCAACAATAGACAACAACGACAAAGAGAGTATCAAAATATGTGAGGGAGGCTACACTATAATTGGAAATGTTTGAATAAATAAATAAGGAACCCTAAAAATGCCTTTTTATCAAAAACATTTCATGATAAACACTACATTAAGTAAGACTTACGTAACTTACTGCTTTTTTCCTTAATGACTACTTTCATTGTAAAGAAGAAAAAGAATAAATCATTTTTAATCTCCAACCTGAACAATGAAGTTTTTCAAGCTTTGTTGATTCGAATAATTACGAATTTTGATGGAAATGATTTAGAGTGCACAGTAAAAGTCACCGTGAAGTAAAAGTAAAGTGGTACCAATGGCCTGCAGCGTGCGTTATAAGGAGAGTACGTTGGATTCGGTGCTTTTAAAACTAATGCGGAACAAATTATATTGGAGAGAGATCATAATTCGTGCGTTCGAAACGCATACTATAAATTTTAAATCAGATTTATGAAATAATTTCACTTTCCTTTGACATATATTATTAGATTTATTGATGTTTATCACTTTTTAACGCTTTACAGTTACTAAATTATATACTTTCTACAAATAGTAGTTACTTTTTTGAAGATTTGTACAGGGTGAGTTTCCTACGATGTTCTCCATGGGTATCTAACGGAAACTACTGAAGATAGAGAGTCGGTTAAATTTGCAGAGTCGGTTAAATTTAAATGGGGAAAGAATTGCAGATTTGTGGGGTTATAAATATGCGCCTTTCAGATTTTTGAAAAAGTTCATGGCTTCCTAGATATTTCGAAAAAAAAACAAATTTCGGCAATTTCAAAAATCGTCCCTAATTCCATTATAATCTATTTTAGACAAAAAGTTTTCAGATAAAAGTTGTAGATAATCACATCCTTAATGACATTGTGTTTTTTCTAAAGCCTCTCTTTTTGACATATGACACAAACATATGTTTTTTTTTAAATGGAAAACATAGTTGACCATGACTTCATAAGAGTTATAGCATAATGAGTTATAGCACAGAATATCTAGCTACGCAACAAAAGCCTCGTTACACGTATAAAATCGTAGGTATCAAAAGGAGGCAGGCTTTTAAAGCTTATATATACTTGGTATAGTAAGTACTCGTATCTTCGGTGACATTGTAATATGATATGATGGTACTATGATGCATATAAAGTGGTACCTTAACATAGTACCATATTACGATACCACTTCCTGACGTTCGATTGGGCTCATATTTGATTATACTTGCGTATTTTTGATGAAATTGCAATATTATGGTACCATGAAGTACATCAAGAGGTAACAAGAGGTATCAAGAGGTATAATGTAATACCATATTACGATACCATTTCCTGGCGTTCGATTGGTCTTAAACTTTGTATACTACGTGTGTTGGTGACATTGTAATATGATGGTACTTTAATGGATATAAAGTGGTACCTTCTATAGTACCATATTATGATACCACTTCCTGACGTTCGATTAGGCTCATATTTGATTATACTTACGTATTTTTGATGGCATTGCAATATTATGGTACCATGAAGTACATCAAGAGGTACCATAATGTTGTACCATATTACGATACCATTCCCTGGCTTTCGATTGGGCTTAAACTTTGAATGCTACGTATATTCGGTGACACTGTAATATGATGGTACTAGAATGCATATAAAGTGGTATCTTCTATAGTACCATATTATGATACCACTTCCTGACGTTCGATTGGGCTCATATTTGATTATGCGCATGCGTATTTTTGACGACATTGCAATATTATGGTACCATGAGGCATATCAAGAGGTACCATAATGTAGTACCATATTACGATACCATTTCCTGGCGTTCGATTGGGCTTAAACTTGGTATACTCCGTATCTTCGATGACACTGTAATATGATGGTACTATGATGCATATAAAGAGATACCCAGCTATAGTACCATATTACGATACCATTTCCTGGCGTTCGATTGTGCTTAAATTTGGTATACTACGGATCTTCGGTGACATTGCAATATTATGAAGCATATCGAGTGGTACCATAATATAGTACAATATTATGATATCATTTCCTGGAGTTCGATTGGGCCAAAATTTGGTAACTTGCGTTTCTTTAAAAATATTTGTTTAATTAATAATTTAAATTTATTTTACGAATTTTAATTTATTGTACGATGTCTTGACAGCAACTTTTATGCCGAACTAATATATTATTAATTGTACCTGTGTCACTTTTTAAAATCTACCTAGGTCTATATAAATAACGTGGCAAACAGAAGAAATTTGTTATTATAGTAGTTTTTTAGTCAATTAACATTTTTTATACTGCATTTTAATAAATTATTTCTATTATTATTAAACGTATATTTCATTACTAACGTTTCAGCATTAATAAATACCACTATCAATCGCCCTGTATATTATTAATTTTAAAGGTAATTAAAGTTATTTTGTTAGTTAACATAATAAAGTAGTGTACATACATTAAAAATGTATTTTGTGAGCATATGTTTTCTAATAATATACTTAACTTAAAACTATTTTAAAAGCCAAACGAATAATTAATATAAGTGTATCTGACAAGAAACGAAGAATGGAAACAAATTATTATATACCAGAAAAAGAATGGGATGCCAATTAAAGTCTTTTTGAATCTGGCAACTGTGCATATTTACCCGAGCTTCAAGGCCATCGACGTGCCGTCGATCCATCGTCGATCCAAAACCGAAAATTGAAAATTTCCAATTATATTCTGATTATGATATTGTCGCGCCATCTAGTATTTTATTTGTTCAATTTTAGCTCTTTCATTTCGAGTATTTTTCTCTTGCATAGCTAGTTATTCTGTGGTTATAGCCAGTTCTTATCTTTCTTGACTAATTTCACTGAGTTGGTATGGTATTCTTATTCTGTTGTGATTTATAACTTATAAAAACACAGAATATTTTATTAAACGGTACTTTACAATAATTTACATTACACAAACTAAAACTTAAAAAAAAATAATATCACTACATACACTTTAAATGTTTACGTGTTTTAAAATATATTTTTCTTATAATATTTATGTTCAAATATCAATAATAGAGAGTCACAAATCCAAGGAAATTAAAATATTTTGTTTTGTGTGAAATAATTGATGAATATCGATATACGGGGTGTCATAAGTGCAACTATTTTAACTGGTAGTATATTTCGGCCTCAGAAATACACCTATGAGTTTTTTTGCGAAAAAAAAATTGAAAATTTGGAGTCTTTTGAAGAAATTTTTGGATTTTTTTTTGTTTTAAGTTAAAAAACATAATGTCTTGATAATCTGGCAACATAGTAGATTAAATTTACATTAAAAAAAAGTCCATTCAGAATTTATTACGAGTAGAAAAAATACTGTGCTGGGTTGGCGGTGGTTTCTATGTAATTTGACAAATAAATAAAGCTGTCTCTTTAGTTGGCAGGTTCGAGCACAAAACATCCCCCTTTAGAACTTTTTCTTTAATGGCCATAAGTGGGAGTAAAAGACCAACCGCCCGAACAAACACTAGAGGCGCCACCGGTCATCAAATGGTGTAAAAATTTAATCATCTAATTTTGACACAAGGGGTCGCGCTTAACTTTTTTAATTTTTATTTTAATTTTAATTCAATATTCATTGTTTTCAAACTATATTATTATACTTTCTTGTATTTTGTGAATGTATAAATGTTTTCTTAGTATAAAGTTGCATTATATTAATTTAAATTATATTTACATATTTAAAATTTAAATATTATGACATATATGTCAGTTGCCGTCTAAAATGTCATCTTGATAACAAAAAGTTAGTTAATGTCAGAAATAGTTAAAATCCTGTTAAAATATTAAAATTTACAAGTTATAATTAGATATTCTATATTATTTCAAAAACAAAAACATAATGGTACAGCGTTATGATGATATACAGGTCCAAAACAAAAAGTGCCGTTATATTTTTCAGTTTTCGTTGTCAGCCGCGGAAGTTTCAGTGATTTTAGTGTTTATATTTTATATTTTACTTTTTTCATACCTACGACAAATATACATATATTAAAATTTTGTAATTCGTTTTATTTAAAAAATGTTAGAAAACAAGCTTCTAATCCTGTAATTGACATAATTGTTATGTAATATATTCCATTTAAATGTAATATATTACTTTACAATTAAAAAAATGTAAATTTAAAAATATATACAGGCAATAATTGAAATTTTTAGCGTGCGAACAAACACGAGATGCGCTTTATTATTTACTTTCATTTCTTAACATGACAGACGAAGTTCTAAAGGGGGATGTTTTGCGGTTTCGAGTCAATATTTTTTAATTCTCTTTCGTGTCGATTGCCGATTGAATTGGAGCCAAAAATGGCTCAAAGCGAAATAAATAAATTACCAACAGATATTCAGGCTGAGGCGACAAACGCCATATCCAAACTACTTCCATTTAAATCCGGAATAACTTATGATAAGGAATACAAAAATTTTTAAAAATGGAAGCAATTAAAAAACGTGCGAGAAGTAATAAAGCTTTTAACCTATCCTCGCTGTTAAAGTATCATTTAATCTACACTTGGGGTTACAGTACTATTTTATCTACTCTTTTTGATAGATATAAGGCAATTTTAACAGTTGCCATGGACAAAAAGTCTTTAAGTTGACTATTTATAGGACTTACCGTGCAGGGTTGTTTCCTTGAAACAGGTTAACCAGTGCCTGAGCTACGTTGCGTTGCTGTAACAAACTCGCTGGAATATATGCAGGCTGAGCAATTATTACCATAGCTATGGGGGTGGCATGGTGTTGAGATTGACCAATAGATTTTTTAATTGCCTAAAAAAATCATAAAACTAATAAAAATTTTATTCAAACAAACCAAACTATACATGTCATACGCCACAAATTATTTAAATTATTCAAAAACAAAACTAATGACCAATCTTGTTATTTGGTACTCGAAATGTCTCGATGGACGGTGCAAATATACAACAAGTATATTCATATGAATATCTGGGGCACGAAATAACAATTGGTCGCGATAACTAGACACACAAGATGCAAAGAAGAATAGGACTAACATGGGCAGCATTCGCCAAATTAAAATACTAATATATGTATTAAAATTCGATCTATTCGTGCTTAAAGAGGAAGGTGTTCCATCAGTGCGTTATGCTATAGAAAAAATCCGTGTAGTCCAACGAACTATGGAAAGAGCAATGTTTGGTATATCCGGGTATATATCTGTAATGCCAGGTCCAGACTAAGCAGACAAAACAACAAGACAAAAAGAAAAAAACATGAATTTTTTCGAAAAAATTGCGACAATACATACCTATAATATCCAATACATATCTGCGACATTTTTGGCTCATTTTTGTTTTGTTTCAAAATTCGGAGTCTTTTCAATGTCCCGTCTCGAGTCGGTAAAGATCAAAGTGTCCATGTTTTGTTCGTATATTTTACGACAAGTTGTCGGCGCAGTGTGGATGGCATGTGCTGCCAACAGTAGGAGACCAGTGAAATGACACATGGTTAATAAAACTCATTCGCAATAACTAAACTTTTGACTTTGTTGTACTTTTGTGCCTGCGGTGTGGACAATTTATCTCAAGTTTGTCTTGTCAGAATTCCCAATTTTTTGTCGCAAGTTTGTCTTGTTTTTGTCTCAAAATCGTGTTTACTTCTTGTCGCCTTGGTCTGGACCCGGCATAAGAGACAAGATACCAAAATAGGGTTATAAAACAGCGTACACGAATACCAGATGAAAAATATATGTTTTATTATAAGATTTTACCTCAATATGTTGTTGATACGGTGCCGATTGTTGCAGATATTGCGTTTTAGGCTGATATTGTTGTTGGTTTATGGCTTGCTGTGGCTGAAAACGCGCACCAAACTGTGCAAATTGCTGGTAGTTGAAATGTTCGGGTTTGGTTGCTAAATTGATGGCGTTTCCAGAGGTCAGTTGAGGTTTCGGTTGCTCATCTTTGGTTCCAGCCTCAGTTGATACCAACCCGATACATAGTGGCAATATAATCTAGACAAAGATATATAAAAACTCGTGAATAGTAATAGGCATAAACTATATTATATTAAATGGGATACCCTATAATAGTACGGGAGGTGGCGACACTTTTCATTATCCCATTTCATAAAACTCGATTTATCTTTTATTTTGTAATATTAATACCGCTGATCAAGAAAATGAACTCTAAATGTTTAAGATAATAAAAGATGAAACTTTCTCAACGTTTTAATAACATTTAAATAAGTCATGAAACGCATTCCTGTTGTAACTCCACTTTGCACGGAGGTAATATGGAGCTATCAAAATTTGTCGACTGTATTTGAAGCTGTTGTTGGGTGTCGCTGAATTTATAGGCTTTCATGAACGTAACTAACCGTACTTCATTCACGTCGTTCATTGTTTCAAAACCATACAGTTCACAAACAAATTTCTCCAGATTATCAAAAATTTCACTTACTATCGATATCTGGATACTTATGCATGATGGCAAATATATTAATCAACTGTGGAGAGTTTTGAAGAATAGTAAATGGCCGCTTCTTGCCTTTCTTGAAATACGCATCCTGTATTGAAGTCGCATCCTGTGAATGCGTGAAATGCTGGAAGTGCGCGACTTAATTCTGGTCCCAATAGTTCATACAGTTTGCTGACATTTATATATCTTTCATTGTTCCCAACACCTACTTTTAACCAGATTTTTACATATTCATTGACGCGCGCATACCTGTATATATAATCACTCAATATACTGTACGTCTGTCCGTTCTATAGCTACGGGGTATCCGTGAGAGGGGAAACGATATTCTCTCCATGTTTTTCGTATATAGACGACGCGTCCCATCAATAAAAATTCGACAAATTTGCAAGTGGCCAATAAAATCAGTGGGCGGAGCGATTTGCGGTGACGTACTCGTCAAGTCGACGTATAAAATATATTGTTGTTTATTTAAACGTTTTTTGTCCGCATTCCTTTTATAGACACAGATCCAGCAGACGAACTGTATAACGCATTGAGACCCACATTGAGAACCCTTAGATTTAGAATTTGGAAGTCTAGAATATATAAAGATGTATAAAGGTAATATAGGAATATATAAAGGTGGTCCCATCAAATGACTGGCAGTATATGTTTTTTAGTTATCGTAATTATTAACGAAATGCTAAAAAAAATTTCAACTTTTATAATTTATATCAATGGATAATTTTTTTTCACATAAATAAAATTATGGCAGGAGTGTATAGGTCTACCGAAAAAGTGGCAGGATGTCGTTTTTTGTCGCATTTAAATGTTATTAAAAAATTGATAAAGTTTCTACTTTTATTATTTTTAACAATGAAACTTTTTTTTTAACATAATTAACATATCGCAGTAAATCAGTGTCCAGCTGGTACCCCTGCAGGAATCGATTTTAGGTTTCAATAGCTTTGAAATGATACAAAAAAAGTAAAACTAATCGTTATGAAATCTTACATAATTTAGTGTCGCCACCTCCCGTACTATAATGATAATGAACTTTAATCTTTTAGTTGTATTATCCTGTACAGGTTAATAATAATGTAGTAATAATAAATCCTTTATTTGCTCAATTACATAAAATGTTTATCATTGTTGGTTGTAGGTTGACCCGGTGTTACGTAAAAGCTCCATATCAAGTTTTATATTTTAGATTTCCACTCGAATAATTTTGGGAATGTATGCAGGACGTTGTATCGCACATACTAAAAATAACTTTTTAAAGAATACAGTGTCATTCAAGCGAGAATTCAAGTACCATAAAGGTATTTAAATGGAATGTAATGCATTTTTATTGCTCAATGGAAATTTGTTATAAAATTCCTCATTCCAATGTAATAATAATCCATAACATACTCTACACCTAGTATTTTTTTTAATACTATCTTTTTTGATTAAATTTTGAACATTGTTAAAGATCTTTCGAAATTAAAAAGCCGCTAAAATCTTAATAATGATTTTGACTCATTGTATTTTTGTTATTACTTATTACCCAACAAAATCTATCTTTAGCATTGTATATACAGGGTGAGACAAAACCAGATATGTTGTTTACTCCTCTATTTAGACTAGATCAATACCAACTTAATAAAAGGAACCATATTTCAAAGATCGCTTGATATGGTTTATGACTCTATAACATTTTTGGTATCATAATGATATGGAACAAATACACTTGACTCACCCTGTATATCTATGAAAATATTTCTAAAAATGCGCTACCAACAGCAACATATTCTATAAAAAAGTTTCAAGTTTAAATCCTAAATAGGAAAAATGATTTTACGAGATTTTGCGGAACTCTGATGGGCCACCCTATACAGGGCGTCGCCTCTCATACGACGCCCAGACTCCAAGGAGAATTTTTTGTTAATTGAATGCATTTTATAAAAAAAATATATAAAGTGCTACAGGGTGTCCCCCCAAAAAGAATTACGCATCAAAGTTGTGTTTTTTTGCAATGAAACACCTTATATATTAATTGATTTAAGGATTCCTGGAAAAAATAAAGGTGATTTTCATTAAAGAAGCATAATATGACTAAAATGTAATGTATTATGACATATTTCACATTTTCTGAAAATCAAGAATAAATTTTAAATTTAGATAACAGCTACATAAATTGTAATTTACCCTGTATAGACTGATATTTAGTTAAAATAACCATTCTATCATAAATTAATTAAAATTTGACCCGAAAAGTTATACAGGGTGAGACAAAATTAATATTGAACATTTTTAAAAGCTATTTACTATTTTATTTTAAATGGGAACACCTAGTATATTATTCCGATATTCAATGGACAATTCATGGATAATTTATATCTCTTCAAAATACTAGTAAGATTTCCTACCCCTCTGACAAAAATTTTCACAACTAAATCATAAAGAGAAATCTTTGTTTGCCACCTTCAAAGTAGATATTTTGAAGAAAAATAAGTTCCCCATTGAATATCGGAATGATATACTGGGTGTTCCGTTTAAAATAAAAGAATAACTTGCTATTAAAACTGATCGACGCGACGTTCAATACTAATTTTGTCTCAATCTGTTTAACTTTCTTGAGTCAAGTTTTAATTTAAAGTACAATAGTTATTTTAACTACATTTTAGGCTATATCGGATAAATTCCAATTTAGGTAGCTTTTATTGAAATTTAAAATCTGATCATCACTTTTAAAAAATGTTAAGTATGTCATTTTAGTCATATATTTCTCTAATCTTTATTTTTCTCCTAGAAGCTGTAAATTAATTAATATACAGGGTAGTCCGAACCGTATTCCGAAAACTTCGGCAGCATATTTCACTGATAAAAATAAGTAAAAAAGTTCATATAAATGTATGTCCTAAAATGCTTAGTTTCGGAGATACAGGGTGTAAAAGTTTCATTTTTATTTCGATTTTTTCCAAATAATTTCTTAAGTAACGTCAATATTTGGATGAAAATTGGTGTCTGGGAGTTTTTTGGCATGAGAAATTTGATTTTAATGTCAAAATGACTCGTATTTGTAGCGAGGGCCACCTACATGTGTTTTAACTGTTTTGAAGAGTAATGACTTTTTGTCCGTACCTGTATTAAACTACTCAGTGAGAAAATATACATTTCCGTGATTTTCTACGTAAAAAATGTCTCTTAGTAAAAATCGCTACGAGTAACCGTTCCAAAGATATTTACAATGGAAATAGTCAATACATGTCATTATTGACTAAAAATAAACATGTTGAGTAGATAGTTATTTGACTGAAATGAGAAATTTGGGAACTTTTTATTTTTTTAAACTAATCATAAATTTTTCTTCGAAAAAATGATCATAAAACAGTTTCTGTTGAACTTTTGTCGCAAAAACATTGCAAATTTATGATTTTAGTCTAATAACTAATTAGTCAACATGTTTAATTTATGTCAATGATGACAGGTATTGGTAATTTCGATTCCAAATATTTCGAGAACCATTACTCGTAGCTATTTTTACCAAGAGACCTTTTTTACGTAAAAAACATCGTAAATGTATATTTTTTAACTTGCTAGTTTTATACAGGTACGGACGAAAAGTTATTAATCTTCCAACCAGTTAAAAAATACGTAGGTGGCGCCCTCTACAAGTAGGAGCCATATTGACATCGAAATCAAATTTCTCATGTCAAAAAACTCCCAGACACCAATTTTCATCCAAAAATTGACTTTACTTCAGAAATTACTTGGAAAAAATCGAATTAATAATGAAACTTCTACACCCTGTATCTCCGAAACTAAGCATTTTAGGACATACATTTATACGAACTTTTTTACTTATTTTTATCTGCAGAATATGCTGCCGAAGTTTGCGGAATACAGTTCGGACCACCCTGTAAAGTGTGATACATTACAGAAACACAACTTTGATGTGTAGCTTTTTTAGGAGACCCTGTAGAACTCTATATCTGTACTCCAGAAGCAAACTATATTAAGTCACAAAACATAGTTTTGAGAAGAACGGTTCTTTTTTGAAATTGTTTCCCAATTACTCGGTTATTTTTAAACCTACATGATTGTAGTATTTGGTATATGAACAACTTGTTTTAGAGAACTTAAATGAAATGTAAAACAGTTTATTTTTGTTTAAATAAATTATATCAACATTTTTTTGAGCGGCTCAATATAATTTGTATGATAGAAAAAAAACATAACTTATATTAAGTCCCTATTTGTGCCAGAATGAATAAAGCAAAACCAGTTTAAGTCCAAATAAAAGTATATTACTTATATAATAAGATAACATTTAACAGGAAATTGTAAAACATATATGTACGTTACAATTTGGAACCAATTTTCGTAACAGTGGACCCTTGCACATGAGATACTAAACTAACCAAAGATGTTTGAGCCAAACTGCGTTTACGTAACTTATATAAGCTTATTTATTTGGCCCAGCGTATACAGGGTGAGTCTTAAATAAGTGCAAATATTTTCGGGGCTGGTAGATCTCGATAAAAGAAACATATTTTCTCTTTACCATTTTTCAGATAAGTCCAAAATAACCGAGTTATTTAAGTTTGAAAATTTAAGAAAAAAATGATTTTTATTTGAAAAAGTTTTGAGAACCACCGGATTTTTTATGGAATTTGCATCCCTTTTAGTGCCGTAACCATGGAGTAAAGCCGTAACTATGGTAATATCAGAGATTAAGAAATTATACCGGGGGAAAATTTGCGATGAACAGGCAGTTCTAAAAAGCTTTCGAAAAATATATGGGAAATTTAAAAGAAAATGCACGAAATTTAAAAGAAAATACACTCATAGACGTGTTTCTGGGTTCGAAATATACCACCCCTGAAAATATTTGCACTTATTTAAGACTCACCCTGTATATCTCGGATATTCCAATTTTGGACTTAAAATAGTTTGCTTCTAGAGTACAGATATATTTTTAAAAAATGCTTCAAATCAACCTACAGACACTCACAAAATTTCATTGCAATACAAACTATCGTTCTCCTTGGAGCCTCCGCGTCGTACTGGATGCGCCACCCTGTATACACATAACCGTTTTCCTATGTAAACACTGTTAATTTCACTCAAATCACTTACACTCAGCTGTGCGATTCCTTTCATTTTCCGCGATGGTCGAACGCTGTTGCGATGTATCAAATCGCGATGACTTCGTAAATCAGAGTGCAGCAGAGCTGAAAGCCCCTCTCCTATTTATACCTTGATATACTTACATGGGTTTTTTTTCGATAGAAAGGTCTCTTTTGACGTTAAACTAACTCTTGTTACGCTTTATCTATATACGTGTACTTTCTTTGTTATAGATTGTACCATCGGAGTTCTTGTATTAATTAAACCGAACAGCGTGGGCTAAATGCACTGGAGAATGTTTTTGACAGGGGGAAATTGCTCTTGGTCTCCTAAAAACACGCTGAAGCTTTTGGTTGTAATTAAGACGCAATCCTTTTCTTATGGTTTAAAATTAAATCACTTTTATACAGGGTGTTGGGAGATTCCTCATATTTTTTCCCGTAACAAGGGGCAGTCCTCTGCCGGAAACACTGCGGCCTGTGAAGCCTCTTGTGTTTGTCCCCATTCTACAGGGTGATCCGAACTGTATTCCGGAAACTTCGGTAGCATATTCTGCAGATAAAAAGAAGTAAAAAACTTCTTATAAATATATGTCCTAAAATACTTAGTTTCGGAGATACAGGGTGTAGAATGTCATTTTTATTTCGATTTTTTCCAAATAATTTCTGAAGTAACGTCAATATTTGGATGAAAATTGGTGTTTGGTAGTTTTTTGACATGAGAAATTTGATTTTGATGCCAATATGATTCCTATTCGTAGAGGGCGCCACCTACATGTGTTTTAACTGTTTTGAAGAGTAATAACTTTTTGTCAGTTCCTGTATAGAACTACTGAGTGAAAAAAATTACATTTTCGTAATTTTCTAAGAAAAAAATGTCTCTTGGTAAAAGTCGTTACGAGCAACCATTCTCAAGATATTTAGAATGGAAATAGTCAATACATGTCATTATTGACAAAAAATAAACATGTTGAGTAGACAGTTATTTGACTGAAATAATAAATTTGTGAAATTTTTATTTTTTTAAATTAATCATAAAATTTTCTTCGAAAAAATGAAGATTGATAATGATTTGACACAAAAACATTTCAAATTTATGATTTCAGTCTATTAACTATTTAGTCAACATGTTTGGTTTATGTCAATGATGACAGGTATTGATAATTTCAATTTCAAATATCTCGAGCTAATATCGAGCTATCTCAAATATTACTTGTAGCTAATTTTATTAAGAGACCTTTTTTACGTAATAAACGTAGTAAATGTATATTTTTTTACTTAGTAATTTTATACAGGTACGGACGAAAAGTTATTACTCTTCAAACCAGTTAAAAAGGTGGCGCCCTCTACAAGCAGGAGTCATATTGACATCAAAATCAAATTTCTCATATTAAAAAACTCCCGGCCACCAAATTTCATCCAAATATTGACGTTACTTCAGAAAATATTTAGAAAAAATCGAAATAAAAATGAAATTTCTACACCCTGTATCTCCAAAACTAAGCATTTTAGGACATACATCTATACGAACTTTTTACTTATTTTTATCTGCAGAATATGCTCCTGAAGTTTCTGCAATACAGTTCGGACCACCCTGTATATCAAGTAAATAAATGCCTTTATTGTCAAAAAATTTTACAATTTGTAGACAAAAGTAAATTAAACAAACAAAAGAGAATACAAAACTAGTATACAAATTACATTGTCAGTCTTATTGTTTAAAATAAACATTTATAAATGTTTACAATGTCAAAGAATAAAAAAATAAAAATAAGATTCAAAAATAATTAGTAAGTTTATAGTAAATATTAGACCGGTGTTTACAAGATCAAATTCGATTATCAAAATATAAGTCATTTACGGCGTAGAAAGCCTTGCCTAGTAAATATGATTTCAATGCTTTGCCAAGCTTTGCGAAATGAAGAAAATGATGTTATGGATTTGCTTTCAAGTGGCAGGTGATTGTGCATTTTTTTCGAGTTATATAATATTGGACTTTTAACTAACTCTGAGCGTGGGGTAGGTAGATAAAGATCTTGCTCCGGCGTTCCTGAGTGGATAAGTGTGAGATGGCCGTTCTTGAGAAGCTGGGCTTACGTATTAGGCAAATGGATTCAAATATAAATAAGGAAGGAAGAGTTAATATTTTTAATTATTTAAAAAAATCCTGGCAATGAGATCTGCTGTTTAGTCCCAGTGAATATCGAACAGCTCTATTCTGGAGCTTGAAAATGCGGTCAAATTGAGTCGCAAAACACGTACCCCAGAATGGAAGGGCATATCTGAGGTGCGACTAAAAAAGTGCATAATAAACAGTTTTAGCCACTAACAAGTTAAGCTCCTTAGAAACAGATGTTAATGCAAAACAGACAGAGCTTATTTTTTTCGACAAAGCGTCGATATTCATGTCCAATTTTAGAGAATTGTCTACAACAAGCCCTAAGAATTTTACAGATTTTACGACGTCAATGGTGGTGTTGCTAAGTACAAAAGGCTGCAGCAAGTTTTTATACGACAAAGCTTTAGTTTTAGAAATGTCAAGAAACTCAGGTGTTTCAAATCGCACCAATATTTAATGGTGATTAAGTCATTTGATATAATCCTATATCACCCATTCTCCTATCCCTGTGCCCTGCACAAACTTATACAGGTCCTTGGTAGGATGGGAGTTCAATTTCTCCGGTTCTAGGCTAGCTTTCCCAAATAAAAAGTGTCGCTGGTGATTCAGAACCTCGCAGTGACATATTATGTGCTCCGTTGTTTCAGGATCTTTATCGCAGAGTCTTCCTTGATGCTTGTTCAGGTAACACTTGACAGTCATGTGTCCTGCCAAGAGGCCTGTTGTAATCCGCACTTTATTCCTGCTAAGAATTAGCAGTTTTGAAAAAAAATTGGATTCGAAATTTCTTAATTTATTTAGAACATCCTGTAGCAACTAACTCTTTAATAATCTTGGTATATGTAATGATATAGATACCTACGCCTTTTTGGAACACTCTGTATTTTATAGAATTAAATTGACTGTGAATATATTTCTATTGGTCCTCTTTATTGCAATATCAGTATATTCTACTGAGCTGAACTTTTTGAAGCGAAGAACTAATTCGATTCACGATACATCTTATACAAAAGTGCAGTGAGAATGAATCGGATTATATTTGAAAAGCTTTTAGTATTTTCCTTTCCTTCAATATATTGTCTCATTTTAATGCTTTTCAATATGAATTTGTCAAAGAACATAAAATATTCCAGTAACGTAGAATATAATAGTAAATGTATGTAGTCCATATTAGGGCATTTATATTTTTAATTATATTTAAAAAGGTTTAACTATAGTTTAGTTGGTGAAAAACATAAAAATCTAAAATTACAGTAAAAATAATGATTTTGCAAAAGTTGTTACAGCAACTACAAGAAATGCAGAACAATGATAAAACTAAAATGATGTGCACTCCCCCGGAAAATCATAACAATGCTATAAAAATCGGACAAGAACTATTCCGAATATATAGCGGAATTACCTCGTAGTTCAATCTTGTAAAAGGCCAATATCGACTATGAAATTCAATACAGAATTAGCAGCGCCTCAAAGGCATTCTGGAAATTAAAAGACAGAGTTTTCTACAGTCATGACTTGAGCACAAAAACGAAACATGCAGTGTACCGAGCAATAATAATCCCCATCACGTTATATGGAAGCGAAACCTGGGTGCCATACCGCCGACACATGAACGCATTAAACAAGTTGCAACAGAGACACCTTAGACAACTGTTAAGAATCAAATAGTTCCACCATGTCTCAAACGTATCGGTCCTTGAAAAAGCACGTGTGTTAAGTTAGCACAACCACTTTAAAAAAAATATATGAAACTATATGGAATAATTGCCGTAAATTAGCCGTAAATTTGCCGTGAAAACGAAAAAATTGCCGCTCTTCGCTAAGTATGTTAAATCGATGGTTGTGCTAAGTTAATATTAAGTTAGCACAACCACCATGGGAAATCAGTGAAAGAACATAGTTAGGAATTTTATAGTATAGCAGGAATTTGCCGTTTTTTTGCCGTTCTTAGATACAATTAAAAAAAATATCCTCCGATCATTCTCTATCCCCCTGCAACAAAAAATGTAACAGCGTCAAGGTCACATATTAAGTTAGCACAACCATTCCAGTAAACGTTAAGTAAAATGTCTAAAATTAGGTGGAACAATTGCCGTAAATTAGCCGTAAATACACCATGCAAACGAAAAATTTGCCGCTCTATTATTTGTTTATAAAATCGATATTCTTTTTAATTAACGTAATCCATAACATTAAATTAGCGTGATTTTTCTTAAAATTCACTAAATGGTATCAATAATGACTTTATAGTACAACAGGAATATGCCGTAAACAAGCCGTGAAATCAAAAAAATTGCCGCTCTTTTATTTCGATTATGACACAAAATACAGGGTGTTCCATTTAAAATAGTAGATGAAAATACAACATTTAATTTTGACTCACCTTGTATATATCAAACAAGATTGCAAATTCTGGGAGACCGAATTTTGAAGAAGACACTATTATTCAGTACTTCCTGTTAATTTTTTTTTTAAATCTTCGAATTTAGAATTTTCAGAGAACTTTAAATAAGCAATAAATTTAGTTTAAAAACGGCTATATTTCAAAAACCATTAGCGGCAAATTTTTCGATTTCACGGCTTATTTACGACATATTCCTTTTGTACTAAAAAGTTATTATTGATCCCATTTAGTGAATTTTAAGAAAATTCGCACTAATTTAACGTTATTATTTACGTTAATTATCGATTTTGTAAACAAATAATAGAGCGGCAAATTTTTCGTTTGCATGGTGTATTTACGGCTAATTTACGGCAATTGTTCCACCTAATTTCAGACATTTTACTAAACGTTTACTGGAATGGTTGTGCTAACTTAATATGTGACCTTGACGCTGTTACATTTTTTGTTGCAGGGGGATAGAGAATGATCGGAGGATATTTTTTTTAATTGTATCTAAGAACGGCAAAAAAACGGCAAATTCCTGCTATGCTATAAAATTCATAACTATGTTCTTTCACTGATTTCCAATGGTGGTTGTGCTAACTTAATAT